GTTGTATTCCAAAATTTGTGGGCCGGCCTAGAACCTGTAGTGGGTCGGCTTTTTTTCACGCGGACCGTTACCGGACTCATATGTTCGCGGGCCAACCCTGTCCGGACCACCTGAATTGACACCACTAGACTTGGATTTGGTAATGAAATACAAAAAAGCCCAGACAAGGAAACATAGAAAATGCAAATAGCTGCTATGCTCTTGAATCAATGTTGGGTGCCCATGGATCCACTGGCAAAATAAATCCATTACACAAAAACCCTTTTCCCTTTCTGTAAATTCTTCTTCTTTCGTATGCAATTTCAGTTTCTGTACAGTTCTTAAATTGCCTCCTGGGAAATAGATAAGGTTCTTTGTTGCAGAGATTCCGGTGGAAATAACTACTATTGAGCAACAAGTAAGAATAAAAATAGAGTTCTTGAAAGGGATTGAATTTGCATTGAGCTTGTCAGTTTAAAAGAATTAGCGGCTGAGTATTATTCATCTATACCACGTAGAAAATGCAAGATGCAGAATTCAAAGCGATATTCTCCTTGTACACAACTGATCTTGTGAATATTTTTCCTGTACACGTACAGCTGTCCAAGTCCAAATTGATGTCTAACCTTAAAAAAAAAAAAAAGAAGGAAAAGGTTAGGATGGAATTCGAACTTTTAAATATTTTTTCAACCTTTTGACTCACCAATATATCGAATCTTAGAGACCAAATTCATGTCACGAAAAAAATGTTAGTATGATCATTATAAAGTCCAATTTTTATGTATAAAAGACTATAATACCCATGTTTATAATTAAATAGAAGAAAAGAAATTGAATTGCTTTTCTTGTTTCTTGAGTTCACCCAACTTAGGGATGACGAAGAAGTAGGGATGGGGGCAATCATTATCATCCCCTGAATTTTTAGGAAGCTGGTAGGGATGGAGGATTGAAAAATGGTCACTTATCGTCCTGTTTAATTATTTAATGAATTTTTAATATTATTATTTTTAAAGAGGATTTAAATTTAAAAATAAAATAAAATAAAATAATTCGGACAAGGATCATAATCCCTGTCTCATTCGGGGTTGGAACAATGCAAGCCAGGTTGAAACGGAAAATCTTGCCATCCTTAACCCTACGAAGTTTTCACCGACCAATGTCCAAAGTAAACGAACAAGAACCACCTCTACCATGAGAGGTCATCGCCAGCTGCCAACACCTACATTACCTAACCAATTGTCGCCAATAAACATTTTTGTTGACCTGGATTTCGGGCCGATAGCGTGGTCATTCATTGCCGTCCACGTCCACGTATAAAACTCACGTATACTTAGAAAAATCGTCACAAGCACTAATCATTTTTCGGGTGGTGAAAGAGACGATCGCAGGCCTTCCAACAGTCAAATTAGTCAATTTATATATTTGGATGTGGGATGAAAGAAGAGCGCCAGTCACAAGTATGAGTATGGACACCGGGTTGTAGAGAAAGAAATAGAGAGAACAATAATAAGATTTAATTTAAATGGCACCAAGTGTGATTATAGTAGAATGAGTGTAGTAGTAACTTTTAGATGGGAGACATATGGACTCATCTTAACACCGGGTTGTGCGATCTATATTTTTTGTTATATTACTTCAATGTTGATCGTCACAAGTTAGGTTGAGAAAACAAATTTCAAACTTTCTTAAAATAACAATTTTGCAGATAAATAAGAACAATCACTATGTATGACAAACTCTTTAGAACATATATAGTAAAATGCTCTTTATTTTAAAGAGTCAATCCTTAAAATTAAATTTTAAAAAACTCTTCAAATTAACATTTTAAAATAGATTAAATACATTCAAATATTTAATGATCTATACATTGACCTAATTAAATAGCATATACAAAAAAATTTGAGAGAAATAATATAATAATTTGAAGGGAAGCTAATAAAAATAAAAGATAGCGAAAAATAGTAAATATATTGAAATTTATAAAATTAAGTGTTAAAGACTAAGAAACTGTTGTATTTTAAAAAAAAAAAAAATTATTCCCTAAATTTATAAATGATATCTCAATTGCAAAAATATGCTCTTTAAGCATAAATAGTTTTTCTGAAGATGTTGTTTAATTATTTTCAAAAACAAATTAAATTATAAATTTAAAATAATAATATTAAAAATGGGGAAGAAAACATGTCTCTTAAATAATAACCCTCATATTTCTCTTTGTTTTATCTTTCCTTTCTGTCTCAGAGTATGAAAGTAACCAACCAAAAAGAGGAAAAGTAAGCCAAAATGAAAAGGGATACAACAAATTTCAACTCTTCTAATGATAATCTTGGCCTCTATGGTATTGATGGACAAAGACAAAATTGGAATTCTATATGCAAAGTTCCTCAACCATTTATCACCATTTCCATTAACAAATCATTCCAAGAATCGATTGGCCCCGGTAGACACCAGTGCAAGCAGTCGTTTATAACCTTCGCATTCTTGTCTTTCGAAAATGGCTGGAAGAATCTATATGGACCCGGGTGTCCATCAGGTCTCAACAATGAAAGAGGTGTCACGTCCAGAAGTTTAAGATTTACCCCGTTTGATGCTCTGGTTGATGCCTTTTGAAATTCTCGTAATTCAATTTCGCGGAAAATTTTGTTCAACCAGGGGAGGTCTAACTCACCTTCCCTTGCAGGTTCCGTTCTTCTACAGTTACCACCCTTATCCCACTCCCCATTCTCAAAGTGATCCGGAGCAGATGTCCTATAAAATATTGTGCCCTTGTGATTTGATGTGACAATGTAGTCAAATAAGTTCCTAAGGACTTTTTGATAAGCAAAATCGATCCCGAGCTCTGTGAAGTTCCTTTTAGGACAGTAATGGCAGCCCAAAACCGTACTTTTCTCATAGTAGATTGAGCTTCTAATGAACCACTTACCAAAGGAAAATATCACGTAATCCAAGCTCTTGAACAACTTGGTCCAATTTGTATCAAGTTTGTCGAGATGCAGATCAATCTCAGAAGTTGAAGCACCAGTAACGATGTCATCAAAAATGGCTGCTTCTGCAATGAATGGGGACCAAATACCCGCAACAGAAACATTGTGCAAGGGGAATAGCCATCGCCTGGATTTGTATCCCTCATCATGGTCAACTTCAACGGCCTTCTCAACCTAAAAAGCGAATTAGCTCAGCATTGTCAGTTTTTGAATTCCGGGAATTATTCTTGACCATCAAAAATTGCATGAAATCTGATTTTGTACAGCTACTAAACAGATCAACAAGAGCAATTAGTGAAAAATAAGATTAATTACAAAATATTTAGCAAAATGCTTATTAAGTAAAGCCCGTATGACTCGCTAGGAAGTTGAAACAGAACAACTCTGACTAAATTTTCCAGAGAAATCTAAGTTCGCTATGTGTAACACTCAAATGACAACCGTGCACGACAGAGTAATATGACTGTAACTATGTAATAAAATCTAAAGGAACCAAAAGATACAGAAGAACACAACCTTCTAACCCCCAAAAACACGGTTTAACTCCTCACAGCGTATTGTACTACCACAAGTAACTGCATCCAATCTAAGTCCTATTCCCAGTAAAGTTGGGGTCATGTACATGAATGCTTTTTCACCATCTGTGCAGTTCATAACTAAATTTACGGAACTTTGCACAACAACCAGATACTTTTGGTCTGGAAGTTGTTCTTGAGAATTCAAGACACAAATAAAAAATAAAAAAACTACGATTCTTTTAAGTGATCATAATAAAAAAGGGAATTTAAATCTGCTTCCTTCAGTTTTTTTGTCCTTTCAAGAATGTAATGAGAAAAATCGACGCCCAAAAATGTCTTGCAGATTTTCTATCTTCTCCTTTGCATTATTGATTAAGGTTGGTACGTCCCCTAACTTTAGTGACAATTTTGTCTATTATAGACAAGATATGAGGTCAACACCAAACCCTCAGCTTAGGCATAAGTGCATTTTGCAAAAGAAATAAAAAAATTGATTCCAAGAAATCATGTTGATTTTATTTAGTGTTTGAACTACCTCGTCTAAAGGTTAAAACTATGAGACGAAAAACACATCTATTTAAATGCCTGATTGTGCACAACTCTCTTAAAATGGTTGGTGACAAGACGAGAACTCACATCTTTTTTTTTTTTTTTTT